TTTTCATCTTCGGATGGTTTAATTGTCGAAGAGCACCCCGTTCATAGGGGTTTTCATCGGGTCTTTTGCGACGCAGCTGGCAGCTGTTTCTCGGATGGAAGGCAGCTGGCAGCTGGCTTGGCGGAGGTGATGTCAGGTCATGTTTTTTGAGGGGGTCAGGTTCAAGGCATGTTTGAAAGAACCAACCCTTGGTCACCTGTGCTGTGTCCATGTTTCGGGCGAAATCGCTTAGGGCACACCTCTTTCGGGTGTGGGTGCACGTTTGTATGGCCCGCTGTTTTTCTGACACCACCCTCGAATCGCCAAAAAGCACCCTTCAGATAGACACATCTACCATCACCCACCAGCCCCACCCTCTCGCGCCACACGTGCCGCGACGAGCGAGCCGTGCCGCCACCAGAACCTCGACTGGACGATTGGCACGTCCGAAACCAAGCTCACAGTGCCTCGGAGAAGCGAAGGAAGGTCAGCTCGACGTTCGCAACAAGACCTCTCTCTGCCGAACGAACTAGGCGGTCAGGTGCAACTAGGCGGTCTCTCAGCCATTGCTTTTTGCCTCAGTGGGGAGGAGAGCAGGGGTAAGCCATGCATCAATTGTCTATTTCTTGCTGCCCAGTTGGCCAAGAAATCGTTTTGACACGCGCGTGCGTTTGGCGGCATTCTCAGATCTTCGTCTCGCACGAAATCCTGTTTGCTCCGCGGAAAATCCTGGGCCCAGGATTTGAAGATGGCAGCACAGTTGAACTTTGCTGCAGATGGAGATGCGACAGTGGCCAGCTCAGAGGCCCCGGGTCAGGCGGTCTTTGGGCTGGTGGTGTTTGGAAATGGAGCGGCCATGGGTGCCATTGTCAGTAGACCCAGGGAGGCCACCGTTTTGAGATGAACGCGATGCAAGCAGCTTCATTGGCAGGACATGTGGTCCATGCAGCTCTGCGACGTCTTCTCGGAGCTCTTTGCACAGGCAGGCCGTGCCATCGCCTCTAAGCAGCACTCAGCGTTGTTCAGGAAATGCAGGATCAGTGCTTGACTTGTGTGATTACACTTGGCACTGGAGTTAGAGACAAGGGCTGTCTCAGACACTGCCCCTCCCGCTAGCATCTGCTAGCCAGAACCGCTTTCCAACCTAACTAGTCCTAATCCAACTGGTAGAAGTGGCCTCCGAACCGTGTTGCACGATGCATCCGGCCCGTGCGGAACCGCTGCATCCGCGTAGCACATGCGAGCGAATTCCCAGAGGGTCCAAGTTTGACTCATTTTACTCCGTAGGGCACTGGTGGATGTTGACTGTCAGGTAGGGTCAATAGGAGCCACTGTAAAGGGTTTCTTTTGCTGACATGTCCATGAACGAACCAAAGCCTGGCAGATTAAGCACCACGTTTTGGACCCCCTCTGCAAGATGTTTTCGTCACCACAGACCCCCTATCAAAAAGCCTGAGCTTCGATTTCTGAGATCATGGTGGCCGCGGGCGCTGTGATCCTGGTCGCTGGCCTCGTGACCTTCTTCATTGGCCTTTGCTGCTGCTGTTGCTGCGCCAAGGACAAGGAGTGAGCGGCCAGTGCCACCAGGGCCTGATGATAGGCCCAATCAGTGCCACTGAACGGCCTGGCGCCGCACTTTCAAGTGGCTTTCAAGTGGCGCTGAGGGACCCACAGCCTCCCGCTAAGAAGGTTTGGCTGGAGGTTCAGATCATTTCCCAGAGCACCATGGATTTCCATGGGGGGAGGGGTGCCAGAAGCCAACGAAAGGACAGTTGAGGCCTCCAATTGGGGGGTTGCAGAAACGCTCACATCGCATGTTTCTACCATGTTCTACCCACAATGTACACAGCTCTCTCCTCCTTTGGATGTAGCTCTATCCCGTGGATCACGGCACAACGACGCACCACCCGCGGGAGCACCGTTTTGACTGGGGCAGTTGCCATTTCTCGCCCGGCTATCCGCGACCGCACGTGGACCGCACTTTTGGTGCGACGACGGGCGTGCGACTGCTGGTGCGAGAGTTCGCTGCCCCGCACGTGCCGCGCCGCCCCCCCATTTTTGCAGGGGATTTGCATGTCTTGAGATGGGTAACTTGTAGTTCCTGCCCCAGAGATGGTGGAACATCCACAGGTTACGGTTTTGGTTCCGACTCTATGGCTGTGCCGTACTTGGTTTCCTTCATCCTGCCCGAACCGGGGGCGCGACGCCTCACCTGGACTCCGTGTGAATTTTCGACGCGAAGGCGAGGTGGAATTCAGATTGCAGGCCACGTGGACCCGCCAGCAGCTGCGAGGAAAAAAGGGCCTTCGCCACTGCGGGCTGCCGACCAGAAAAAACTGCCGGAAGTGGTGCAATCTGGTCTTTTGCGTTTGGTTGCGACATTGCCCCACCAAATGTGCAGTATTGGACTCGGATGGATGGATGGATGGATGGATGGATGCATGCGCCGTCTATCTTCAACTTGGCCTCAATAGGCAATAGGCGTCAATATATATAGGCTCCAAGTCATCAAGTAGAAGAAATCCCTCAAGTACATTTCGATTTGGGATTCTTTCCAGACCACTCACTCCACTTGGCCGAAGACGAGGAGCCACTCCTGCGGCCTTGGCCCAAAGCCGTTCGCAAGGGAAAAGACCTTGAACGACTGTTCAAAGCGCCTGGCCGCCAGTCACACTGCGTATCTCTCGCCATGTGCCGCTGTGGAAAGACCTGCTCTAGGGCGCGGAGGGGGGAATCAAGGGACACCGGGGAGGAAGGACAAATCAAGGACCTTGGGATCCAGATTCCCCTTGGTATGAGCCAGACTTGCGACACCTGCCCCCCACCAAATCCAGGGCGCACCCACTTCCGCAGACTCTCTCCGTGTTGTCCACCTACCTCGCGCCGACCCGCCCGACCGCCGCCGCCGCCGATCTCTGCAAGTCCGTCCCGGTCGGCGTTTGGATCTGGACCAGGTGTCCGTGGGCCTGGGCCTGCTCCTGACCATCGCAGGCGGCGGAGGGAACCGGAGCGGAGCCGTGCGGAGCGTGGCAGCCACCGGGAAGACCACAAGTCAACCACGTGGGGTGAGTTTCAGGAGTTCTTCAGTCCACCAGGGAGCAGGCATGAGATTGTTTGGAACATCATTCTACTGACCTGGTCTGGGGAGTTGATGAATCAGTCAACATCCAGGACCCTTCTCAGTGACCTGACTTCAGGATTGGTTGACCCTGACTTCAGTCTTGAGTGACCAACCCGCCACGGTCGGACCGACCCGCCGGTGGTTGAACTGGTCGTCCCATCCAGTGACGGCCCCCGCAACCCGAGTCGAACGGATGCTCTTCTGCCACAGCGAGTTGCCCCGCCGCGGGCCCCACGGTTCGCGAAAACTCAACCTGTCTTTCTGTCCGGCTTCCGCAACTTCGCGGAGTTTGGATCTGCTTGGAGACGGAGAGGTGACTGGCAGTGAGTTCATGTAGTTAGTGGTGAGTTCTTGTAGTTCAGTTCTTGTAGTTCGACAACCTCCATCCATGTGAGTCGGCCCCTTCGATCATCAATCGAAAGAGATGTGCAGCCGGTCGAGAATGACAAGACATACCCATGTCGCACAGATGTCTCCCACGCCAGATGTCAACGCGCCAAGATGTGGCTGTGTGTGGATCAAAACCCGGAGTCCCAAACCAGGGTAGGTTGACCTTTCAGGAAACTTTCAGGTAGTCTATTCTGTTCATTCGTGGTGGTCAAGCAGGGTGTCCCGGTTTTGACCCACCATCTGAATTGGCCTCGGCCTGTGGCTTTGTGCTCTTTTCTCTGAAAACAGTTGAGAAATCTTGAGCCTGTGCACATTGAGCGCCAGACTCATGTTAACAGGCCACAATGCAACGTTGATTTGAGAGAATCCATTTCCCAAGAGAGAACTTTGGGTGGCACCATTGCGTTATCGTAGACCCTGATTTTTACCACCTCAGGGGTTTTGCCTACTTGATGGTACACAAATGAATGTTTTTCCGAACGGAGCTGCTCTAGTCTCCAACGCTAAGACCCGGTCTGCCGGGTCTTCTACCCACCGCGCCGGAGCCGGTCGCTGCGAGGCATCGCCCTGTTGTTGGTGGGCGCCATGTCGTTGACCAGCATCAGCCTCAATGCGCCCTGGCAGCGGGTCCGAGGGGGTCCAGAGGAGCGGAAGAAGGAAGAGGACGACCCAACGACATGGGAGGGTGGGAGAGGTGAGACCGGGACTGTTGTGGCCGGAATGTTGGTTGAGGATGTTGAGGAATTGGGGTGCTGCGGCAGCGTGTTTCTTTTTTGAGATTCTTTTTGCGCTTGGGTTTGGCTTGGTTTTGCTTTGCGGCGGGGGTGCCAGCAAAAGAAGAGCCAAACTCGTGAAACTGCCGGTGCCGAGTTCGATCGCAAGATGATTCTTGATGAGCAAGACCCCCATATGAAGAGCCTTCATATGGGGGTCTTGCTCATCTCAGAGGTTTTTCAATCCATTTGGGGGCGGTTCAATGAATCAAGAGTCAAGAGTCTAAATTGCTCCATCAAAGAAGTGCGCCCGTTTTAGTGGCGGGAAAGGAACAGGACCAAATGCAGGTACAGGAAGTACGTGGACCACTCGCCAAAAACACTTTCTTGTTGGGGGGAGCGGTTTCTCCGCTCAACATGAACCCGGTGGAAAGTTGAGTTGGAAGGCAACTTTCTTTTTGCGAACAGGGGGATGTGAGGCTCAGAGTGTCACCTTTGTTGTCTCCGGAACCAGAGCTCTCACCATGCTCGCTGTCACCAGACCTGCTCCCGAGCTGCCCAACTGAGCCCTCTTTCGTGTCGTGTCCATCTGTGGGGGCCTCTGCAGTGCTAAGTGTGTGAATGCTGACATGTTGCCACCATTGATGTTCAAGCTACACGCTGTCAGCCCAAATCCTTCTAGCTTTTGGGCACATCAAACGTTCAAACGTTGATGACTTTTCATACTGAAATGTCGGACACCGAAGGAACACAACCATTTCATTGATGTCCTGGTATATGTTCATATATAGTTTAAGTAGACTGTATATATATATATAATTCAGATATAAATACACTATCATACACGTATATACATATTCAAAAAAACGTAATTCCCTTCAACTCCATCTTCCTAACCCCCCCGATCTCCGCCCGGAGCTCGAACTCGATCTGCCGGTCGAGCTCTCGGAGGTCAGCGCCGGCATCGATGGCACCACCTCGGGCATGTTGGCGGCGCCCACGGACCTGAACTGCCCCTACATCATTCTGATCGAGACACTCGGGGGGGGGGGGGGGTCGAAAAAGGGGGGGTGTGGAGAGGATGGAAGAGGATGGAGAAGGAGGCCTTCTGGGAGAGCAATATTGACGGCCTGGGTCCTGGAGTTGTCTGGATGTAGAAGGTTCATAGGGTAGGATAGGATGGGTGATGGAATGAGATAGATATTGTAGATTCGAGGAGGATGGGCCAAGAATGGACTTGATTGGATCAGGTGTGAGACGTGGATGTGCAAGAATCAGCAAGAGGACTAACAATGCGCTGGCGACGACATTCCGAGCTGATGGTGGGTTGATGTGTTTCATTGGTTGAAGCTGCAGCTGGTTGAAGCTGCAGAAATTCAGGAGAACCTCCGCCTGCAGCGATTTCCAAGCTTCTGCCACGACCACTGCAGGTGCGAGTGTGCGGTTGTGCAGAATGACGTTGTTATTTTAATGGGTAGAAGCTCTTGACTCATGACCCCCCACAATCCCACACCAAGCAAAATCCACAAGCTCCTCATCTCCCGATAGTATAGTTACTAACTAGACCCCGAAATTCTCATGTTTCCCCTCGTTTATTATTTTCTCCCTGACTTGGTCCACTTTCACCCCGCGTCCGCGACGCATCCAGCGTTGTTCCGCCAGGCACCCTGGACACGGCCGTCTGCGGCAGCGAGGAGCTGCCGGAAGACGCACCCTGCAGGACGCGGTGTCGCAGCTTCAGCGCAGCTTCAGCCTTCGGATC